AAATTATTTGAAAAAGGAAATTATTAAGGGTAATGCTCACATCCTGTTTAGTTACCTCTGGGACTTTGGGAATGTAATCATAAACCAGACAAAATACATTAACTTCCGGCATGATTGTAACTAGATGGTAATGTGTAAACTTTGTAAATCATAGTTTTAAAGGTGACAATCCCGTCAAACTGAAACCAGGCTTCAAAAGTTTCAAACAAACCGTGACACGAAGATTGTAATAAATAATGCTCTGCAGTTTCACTTAACCTAGCACATACGTACCTACTCAGCAACGTTCTTTGAGAACGTTCCTCTTTATGAAATCATAGTGCAAAAGACGAGAAATAAATTGTCAGATATGAAATTTAGTATCTGAATTTACTTAAGAGGATTATAAGCTGTGATACTCTTTAAAGAATAATTTTAAAAATTATCTTATTCTCACCAAGAACACAACAAATCAAGTATCCGGTTAATATATATATATATATATATATATATATATATATATATATATATATATATATATAATGTTTTTGGTACTGACATTGCCTGAATCAAGTAAAAGTGGGTGCTTCTGGCAAAATTTACTGCGTCTGCTGCAAGAATTGATTTCAGGTTAATATTTATTGGAAAGGTTCGGGCCAATACATCTTCTTGGCACAAATTAAATTTAGTAATGACACACAGAAACTTCCTTTTAACCCTTCCAGACATTGGGAACATTTTGTTTTGGAATATTCAAGCCGCGGAGTGCCGTCTGAATAAACTGAACGAACTTTGTTTACAAATATTCATCACTCTATCAACGACTGACAATTAAGTTTATGCAGAAGTCTTCCAGCGATATAAAACTGAATGAAGATATTGACCATGACGGTTAAAGACGCCTTACAAAGAGGTGAAGTACCGTTGTCTGCAACAGCCCTCTCGCTATGCCCTTTAACCACCTTTAAAATGAGCCTTCGTCCTCCTTGGTTTGTCTCCACTTCGACGCGAGTAGGTTATCGAGCAAGAAACAATAAGCACTCTTCCCAAATATACCTTCATCAAAGATTCGATACTTTCAAAAGCAAAGCATCAATGATCATTTGCTAATACGCCCTAAGGCGAAGGTTTCCAAAGGGATCGGTATAGACTGATATAGACCCCCTGGGGGGCGGTGGCATTTTAAAGAGAGTCAATGATGATCTAGATGATACTTAGAAATATGTACCTCAGATTGTTTGGTGTAATGAAAATCAAAATAACTCTGATCACATTAAGAGTTTTTCTGCCGAAAATTCGCCGTCTTTCGCACATCTTTCTCTCTACTGCGTAAGAGGTAGCGAGAAGTAAAAAACAAAGAACATTCGATTAACTATTAAATACCCTACTTACTAACAGTATTAGTAAACAATTGACTATGAACAAAAGCTGCTAGGAGACGCATACTAGTTCATTTTCACGTCTTCTCTTGAATGTAGCGTGGTAAATTATCATAAAAAAATAGTGTTAGCGCTCTTTTGCGCTGGTATCTTAATTGTCCCATATTATACACATAATGTGGAATGTTTTCCAATAAGTCTCGTTTTGGAACAGTGTACTTTCACCCCTTTCAAAAACTGAACTTACCCAAATATCAGGGTATTTGTCACGTTAAGATGTAATGGAATCTAACAATGAGGGAAATTGTTTTAGCAAAATATCAAATTAAGAAATAAAAGTTCTTACTTACATGACTACATTGATCAAAAATCTTGATCTTGACTTTTCGTATGTCGATGCTCTGACCGCTCAACATTTACTACCCAAAAGACACCACGCTGGCTAGGAAACATCAGGCAGACTGAGCTCAATTGTATAGACACGTCACACAAGAACCAGAAGGGTTCAATTGTTTATGTTTACATTTTATTAAGGGGTGAACCTTGCTCTTTCAGGAGAGCGACTTGTAAAGGATGCACAAGTTATTTTGTTGTTGGGGTTTTGGCAAGGTTTTGCCCCTTTCTGTCCCAATGTGCGCTGATCGACCAAGGTCCGCTTCCAGCTGTCGATTCAAAGGACAAGACAGTCCGACTTTGCCAGCCATCGCAATCGAACCCGGGACCACACTACGGGCAGGTAGTACGATGCCTATGAGCCATCCTAGAGACCCACACATGTACAATAATAAATAAAATTGTTACAATACTTACAACTGTAAGTCACCCCCGCAGCGCGTGAACCCGCGTATTCCTCTACTTCTTCAGTTTTTTAGCACTTAACATTCACTGAGTAGATCAGACCTCAAGTGGAAACTGAAAGACAGCGTCCGTCTTCTTAAATACTTGGTGTGGGGAATAAGAGCATCTCGTTTGAATCTGGTTTCCATGGTCGCGTGAGGTGATCTCGACCACGATTTCAGAACAAGGAAGGAGGAAAACAGAACGCCATAATCATATGTAATTAGTTTTGAATAAAGGACTAATATATGGACGTTAGTGCACGAAATAGCTTCGTGTGCGAAAGTTATTAATGTAATTGGCCAATTCACCAACATTGCAATTTTCTCCATCTTGCTGGTAAGGGAAGAAAAAGGTTTTCTAAAATTTTATTCTTTTAATAGCTGATATGGAAAACTTTACATAATGTTTATTATTTTGGGTTCATTATTATTACTTTTGTATAAATTAAATCGACAGTTGCCATTTTCATGCTGTAATAACAAATTATTACGTGTATCTGTTACAAATTATTTGAGAAAGATAGTTCCCTAGTAGTACTACTAATATTAGTAGCAAGGCACGTTGTGGACATGAATAAATACAGAAGAATGTTTGTTATTGTTTACATTTTTTCAATTGTATAGTTAATGTGTTCACAATCCATGCAACTGTATTCATAAGATTTATACATGCCGTACCCATAATGGTAGAAAATAGATGCTGTTGCTGTCTAATGCCTGGGCAGTGGAAATGTGTTCAAACATGTATCCCCGACACGGAACATATTGTAGATAATATTCGAATTTGACACCTCATTGAACTTCGTTTTAGCAAGTTCAATAACTTCTAAAACACTGAAATATAAAAATTTCCATTGGTAACATAGCAAGCTACAAATTTTTAAGATAATCTCTCTTTAGTTCATGGAAAGTCAATGAAATTAGAAACATAATGACAGTCGCTATTCCTGATATTTTACAACGAACAAGATTGATATAGTCGTCTGAATAGCCGAGATCTTTAAGGCGGCAGTGCCGTAACGATTTAGAACTGAAGGATCGCGGGTTCAAGTTCCGTCTCTGGTATTGTTGTATTTGTGTTTGTCCTTCCTCCTTTCACCATCACCTTATCACGTCATTCCGTTAAACATATCGTTAATATATTGTGGGCGCTAATGGCCAAGCTGTTGATGCGACCTTAAATTTTTTAAACAATGTTGCTATAGTTGAGCAGTGCTGGGTATTTTAATAAGCAGAGAAGGAAGGTTTTCTTTCACAAGGCCCAACTGCATTCTGCAATGAGAATTTAAAAATAATGTTCTAGAAAATATGTGGGTGAAATTCCAATGCATTCTGACAATTCCGACGTAAAGTACAATATCACCATAGAAATGTTTCTGCGGTTGAATTTCTCCACAAAACGTTTCATTTAATACATTTATATACTGGATATGTGAAAGAATACAAAGAAGAATATATTTATTTGTTTATGAAACATTTAATTATCGATTGTTGAATTTTCTTCATGTATACATAAATACACTTTTAAATAAAAGTAATTTACATGAAATTTCATCAAGTTTTTTTAGAAACTTTAGCGTACTTGTCAATACATCGTTAAAATAAGATATTTAATTAATTAAAAATACTGTTTTGCTTTATATAGTTTCAATAATTATTTATATAGCGCTCCAGGAAAGACTCTCCGCATTAGTACATTGTTTGTGAGAGTGCTTGCAAAAAAGATAATGTTGGTAGCTCTACCTGTAGTTTGAAACAGTAAATTGCGTACTCACATCAATCATAACAGATTCTGCAAGTGCTGTCCCCTTCACTTGTTTCCCAGTGAGTTGGTTGCTACCAACATAAATTCAATTTTTTATAGAAGTCCATGACTCGGCCTAGTGCGGAGAGACTTTTCTGGCACACTGCAGTGTGATGTACAAATTTTGAAACTTTGAACTGAATTTTTTTTATGAAAACTTGGATATCGTAAATAATTTTTTTACACTTGATTTAACAAAAAATTAACATCAGAAAAAATATTTTGAGAAAATATCGTTTTCATCAATCTTCATTGACCTTGATGTATTAGTCGCCGTTGCATTAAGGGGAGAGGGTACCATGTATACCTCATGTTAAATTTGCTGCTATTGTTGTACTTTTTCTAGAAAAAATTGGTTAACTCCAAAATGTTTATATTTCCCACCCTTAAGGGTACAGCCTTTGTTAAATTGACAGTTTTAGAGTTGATTAAATAATAATTAGTATTTTTTCAAGTATAACATCTGCCCTATTTTTTTCAGTACTTTTGGACAGGCATTATTTTTTGTTATACAAGAATGTTTATCTAAAAATTTCAATTTATTACCAGTACTATAAAGAATGAATCATGTAAATTTCAATAAATTGTGAATAATATTTTCTGAGAAAAGATACATTCATTATAAAATTAGTACATTTTTCGGCAAACGCCACTTGAAAAGGCTGTACTTTGGATTATCTGCCACTGCACTGTATTGTGGATTATCTCCTTCTGCGGGAAAGACAAATCCTACCAACGTATGAACAAGAGCATGTTTCAGTAATTCATTAACAACTCCGTATGCGCACATTTTTTTTTAAATTTATCGCATACAGTGTCAAAAAAGAGGGTGTGGCTCATGTGCACCAGGATAAAAAGTAAAGGAACTTCCAGACGCCCAGAAATAAAAAAGTTAATATATTTAGATAGAGCTAGATTTGAACTATTTGTTTATCAAAAAACAAAAATTGATAATTTGACCCATTTTATGGTACCACCTCCCCATACCCCTCCGTCCCCAAAAAGCGAGCGCTCAGAATTGAGCTGAACGCTCGCGAAATTTTAAGATGCTGAACGCTCGCGAAATTTTAAGATGCTGAACGCTCGTGAAATTTTAAGATGCTGAACGCGCTCGAAATTTCAAGATGCTGAACGCTCGCGAAATTTTTGACAGATCACCGGTGCGGCTTCGCTGTCTCGTTAGTAGTCGTGGGGGCAGTCCCCCCAGCCGAGCGAGGCGTTGTGCAGGCGCAGCTGGGCCCGCAGCCAGGGCACCAGCGGCGCGAAGTACTCGAGCAGCGGCTCGGCCGACAGCTCCCTGGTGCCGGTGAGCGTGAAGAGGGCGTCGGTCCAGTGGCGGCTGGCGCCCAGCGACATCATCTCCCTGCGCCCATCACAACGCCCGTTGAAGGGGCAACGTGCGCCCAAGCAGCCTCCTGCTGTTCGTGAATGTTGACAGCTCGATTTTGGTCCAAGTGCGTCTCATATTATCTTCCACAAGTCTTTCATAAATATGAACAATTATTGTATAGTACCCGACTTGGATGGCCGAGGTGACTAAGACCGGCTCAGCGCTTCGGTTCGAAAGAGCGCGGGTTCGAGTCCCGCTTTGAGCAAGGTGGTCTGTCTCTTGTCGCCCATGTGTGTTGACGCGGAGGGCCTCGCGGAACGCAGGAGACCGTGTGGTGTGTGGTGTGGTGTGTGTTGGTGTGGAGTGTTGGTGTGGTGTGTGTTGGTGTGGTGTGTGTTGGTGTGGTGTGTGTTGGTGTGGTGTGTGTTGGTGTGGTGTGTGTTGGTGTGGTGTGTGTTGGTGTGGTGTATGGTGGTGTATGGTGGTGTATGGTGGTGTGTGTGACTAGTGTGTTGCGTCCCGTCGAGACGTAAAAGGGTAACTTGCTTTCGGCCGTATAAGGCCCTAGAATAGTAACAAATAAACCACACTTGCATCAAAATCGAGACATTAACATTTGCAAATAGCGGGGGATATCCGTTACTTATGTCATTAATACCTAAACCTTTCAATGAAATTCGAAAGGTGTCATTGAGAATGTAATAATGTACATCAGCATTTTCTAAATAGTGATATGAATTGTTTTCAGTATCATTTGGTTCATAAATGCTTCGTTACTAGTCAGACGTTCGTTGACTATTTTTGTTGCATCAAAGACCTTACCTATAGTAATTACGCTAATGGTAAAAAAACCTACTTTGTCCGGAAACAAACCTAGAGAAGCGCGCATTTCTGAATTGAAAGAATTGGGAGGAGCAAAGAACGATAACTCTTTACTGAACATCTGTAGAACTTTCGCTACAGTACCGGCAGCGTATAAGCGACTTTGAACGTTCGATGCGCTGTTGCCACACATTACAACTCTTATGGCACCACCTACATGACAGATAAATTATATCACAAAATATTAACATTTACTGACGGGCGACGACATGTCTTCATATATTCATAACCTTCCCCACTGCTGAACCTTATCGTCACCGCGACTTCGTGTGAATCAGATGAGTGGCTGGACGCTGAACCGCGAGTATGAGAAAGTAAACAAATCGTCGCAAGCTTATTACTCCAGAACACGTCACTTAAAGCACAACAGTACATGGTGAGAGAACTGCCAGTCGCTGATACGCTGCCGATACGGTAAAAGGCTTTTAACACTCCACCCTATAACCCTAATCTCATCCTCCAGCAGTGTCTATATTTTCTTGCATCTCAAGAAATACCTCACCAGTCAGCATTACGCTTACCCCAATTACGCTCAATGACAGTGGCTGTCAAGCTATACTGTGCTACACAGGAATACAAGTGTTGATCCCGCGCTATGACAAATGTCTCAATTCTGATTGTGAATAAGTAAAAAATTATGTGCTGTATCTGCTAAAATGAAGTTTTCCATGTAATTGCGTCTTCTTTTCGTTGACACTCTAGGAAAATTTACTTTCTTAATACGCCACATATTACAGGAATAACTAGTGTCAAATTCTGTCGGAACGACCTGATGGCCAACAGCGGGCAAAAGTTTTGTTCCAAAAGGTCGCTGGTTCGAGTCGTGCCTTGGGCATGGTTGCTTGTCCCTTGTCTCTCACGTATGTGGTATCACGGAGGACCTCGCGTTCTACTGACCCCAGATTGGAAGAGCCCGTAAATGTATCGGTGTCGATTATACGGCCCGTCGGGACGTTAAGGGTAACCGGCTGTCGACTGGAAAACCCCTCGGAAAAAGACGTGTGTTGGCAGGCACGCACGGGCCGAGGAGGGGGGAGGGGGGAGCACCTGAGCTTGCGGCCGGCGCGCTGGGAGCCGTAGATGTCGCACTGGTGCAGCGGGAAGGGCAGCGGCCCGCGGCCCACGCCGCCCAGCACGGCGATCTCACACAGCGCCTTGAACATCTGCACCTGCAGCAGCCCGCTCAGGAAGTACCTGCGGCATCCAACACACCCCGCACTCAAGCGCATATTTTAGAATTGATGCCTACTTGAATTTTGAGTTTTATTTGTTTAACTTTATAAAATAACAGATTTGAAAGTTTTAGTACTTCTAGAGTTTATTTTTGTTTAGCTTTTATCAAGAGACAGATGAAGTTTTAGTAGGGTAGATGTCATTTTTCTAATATTGAGACCTAAGCTGAAGTCTTCAAATATTCAAAAAATACTCAAAATGAAGCTTTGCAGGAAAGCTCTACATGCGCGCATCCGTATAAAAACATTTTGTTACCACCCATTACATAAGATAATTGCCACCCAGCGCCTGTTGCTTTCTTGTTAACTCGCATGATTGATAAATATTACAAAACATCAAAATAGTTGCAACCTCTAAAATTGTAACTAAATTATCTCTAAAAATATTTCTAAAAGTTTAGCCATGACATCAAAAACTCTTAACCAAAGCAAGCGCAAGAGGTTTCTCTAGAATTTAACACATTTAAAAACAAACACAATTCATCGTATTCTGACAAATGTGTAAATAACGAAAAATGCTACCACACTTCTGCTCGGGAATGTGGCGCACAGTTTTGCGTAAGTGTGGCGTGCGGTTTTGTGGGAGTGTGGCGTGCGGTTTTGCGGGATTTCGTTGTCTAATATCGTGTAAAAATGTTCGTCTGCGTACCGTATGTAGGGCGTGTTGTCCGGCACGTGGAACTTGGCAGCCGGGTCGAAGTCGGCCTCGTCGCGGCGCGCGGGCGGGCACACGCCCTGCAGGCTGCGGCGCAGCTCCCACCACGCGCCGTTGTAGCGGTCGGGCGGCACCTCCCCCGCGAACACGCCCCAGCGCCACTCCTCCAGCGCCAGCGCGAACGCCAGCTGCGGCAGTTGGCGCAGCGCCTGCCGCACCAGCAGCTGCGCGCCCAGCACTGCACAAACGCGCGCGCGCACAGGAGGCAATTAATTAATTAATTAATTAATTAATTAATTAATTAATTAATTAATTCGCAATTCCGGGCACCTCAACTGCTAAGGTCAATAGTTCCGTAATAGAAGTGCATGATTTTCTCGCGGGGGGTGGTGGTTACTTTCCCCTCCGGCTCGCGAGATTCGGTGGCGACCTACGTCGGCTTCCCTGGATTTTCCCCAAACGGGTATCTCCCACCAACGAGGCACCGCCCCCTGGGGACAAGTACAAAGCTCCCGACTGGTCTCCTGATACGTGTGCTGATGTAGTGCATGCGAGTGCAAGTGTGTGGAAGTAAGGGGGTGACGAAAGGACAAGGAATCGGAAGGAAAGATTGCGCGCGGTCCGTGGCACGTTTCAGAGGATACTGCTCCTTCATTCACCTGGTGTTGGTCGGAGAAATCCTGTAAAACTACCGATCTGAGCAGCCGGTCGCTTGAATACTCCTCCAGACGGCGCTGCGGCTAAATTCATCCTTGCTGAGTAGCTAGTGGCGAAAATGTCTGCCACAGTCGGGAGTAGAGCCCCAGGACCTCTTTGAGACAGGCACTGCAGTGATACCATTTTACGCGTTGAGTCACCTTTGCCGGTGGATGGTGTCATCAGCGGTGAAGCACTGTTGATTTGCATTGCGCGCATCTTCGGCGGCTCGGGCCATCAATGACATGTCAGGAGGAAAGTCGGGAGATTGGAGCTTGTCTCGCCTGGCGCGCACTCGGTATCAATCAATCCAATGCACGCAGGAATTCAAAGAAAAGTATTCAGCCTCGCTCATCTCAGAGGGGTGAAGTGTTTCGTTACAGACCCACGAATTAAAGGTAAATCCAAGAAAACAAAAGTTTCGATTTTCACTGAAGAATTCAAATATTTGATTGCGTTATTCCACTTTTTATTCTCACACTTTACATGTCGACTGAATCACTGCTTCACTGCATCACTTCTTAAAACATAGCAACTGTCATGCAACAGCAAGGCTAAGAGAAAAAGGCCACCCGTTATAGAATATATGTTTATCATGTTTTGCCCCCCCTCGATATCCTGCAAATCCCCCCTCCCATTACCTAGGCCAAAGGGTGGACACAGAATAACCGACCAACGACGAAAAAACCACCGACTAAAACACTGACCCACGACGGACCAAAGAACTACACATACTTTCTCCCAACCCTTCCTACTCCCTATCCCACTCCTCTCCCTAATCCTTTCCCCTCCCCTTCCCCTACTACCAAAACCCCCTCAATATAAAACTACCCTACAGTTCTCTCCCTCCCCGGCTCCCAATCCCCGTCCCTGTACGGGAAGAGGAGTCGCAACGTAACAACAAACTACTGAAAGAAGATAAAAACTGGACGAAGAGTCTCGCAAGAGACAGGCGTGCCAGGAACAAAACCCCAAAGATCACTCACTCACTCATCATGTTTTGCTTTGTGGAACAGCGCCTTCTTCTATTCTTGGTTGGTGTGTAAAGAACTGTTGAACTTTGTATTCGTGTGTATACTATACTACACATTTTCATTAAAATATTTAATATTTGCTACAGAGTTGTAAGAATGAATTTTCTTCGTTGTTCTTGACCAATAGGCGAGCTACTTCTTGAAAATCATTTGATTTTTTCTTTTATTTAGCAGCGTTTTTTTGCTACTGCATGCCACTTGTGGTTATGTACTTTATTAGGCTCAAATAGAGGACATAACGGACACCGTTGAAGTTACGTTTAACCAAGTGAGTCCGTTATTTGTGATATCGATCGAATGGCGTTCAATAATGTTCTATTACATCAACTTTCTTCAAACAGGAAAAAATCGTCGTACTCTGACCGACTAGCGGCCGTGAAGGACAATCGAAGTTGCAGCTGAATGTGGTGGATACGTACTACAAGGGAAGATATATTCTTATTTAGTTTATGATTTGTTTTCTTATTAGGTGGTGGTTCCATGAAAAGTGAGCCGATACAACTAATAACTTGGACCCGGTTGATCATTTGCTCTGTATAGTCGTAATGTCGTTAATAGCTATTTTATAATGTCTAAATGCGAAATCCTGTCTGGTGCCACGTTATTAGCGCGTATCAGTTCCTAGATGCGAAGGTAGAGCACAGCCGGATGCTATGGCCGAATATCGCCTTATGCGATGCCCTGTTACCGCGATGAAGTATTATCTCCTCCGTAAAACCTACGCTCAGAGTTCAAGGATAAAATCTTACTGGACATGCATATGTGAATGAGACGTCCCAAACTAACGTAAAAAGAAAATTCAAATAATCCAAAATAAATTCCTCCGTTGTGCTTTAATGCAACATGGTATATTTCCAATGGCCCAATTTAAAAAGAATTTTCCATAGTCCCACTCAACCAAAGATTATTAGACTTTAAATGTAGTGATAATGGACTATTTTTTTTAATGAAATAGAGTATAATTAATTCACAAAACGAGAAAAATATTTTTTTTCGAAAAAGCCTCACCTTCCGGAGAGACGGAGTCGTTGACGAGCCCCAGGCGCAGCAGGTGCTGCGGGGTCCACACGCCCAACGTCACGGCGTCCCCCACGGCCTCCTGGAAGGCCGAGTTGGCTCCGTCCTGCAACACCGCCATTCTCTGCCCTGCAACGTGGTCCTTATCCATGGGCGGAATTACAATGAACTAGCAAAATACCCGGCATTGCCCGGGTTTTCCTCATAACCAATCCGTGTGAAAGATAAAGAGATCAACACAAATGGATATGTTTAAATAATCACTTTTAATCGAATTAGTTCAAATTTTCGGAAAATGCTGTAATTTTCATTTCATTTTTCAGTACATTCCTGTTACATTAAAAAATGTATTTTAAGCACTGCTACTGACTTCTAGCGAATCAATAAGGTACCAGTTCTACTGCACCGCTACTGACCTCTGGCGGAATAGGAACCACATACTCTTAGCGAGAAGCGAGAAATACAGATCCTGGTGCACATATTAGAATTTAAATAATTTATTTTCTAAATTTTTATTGTGTTAATAAACTTTGCCAGAACCCTGAGACAAACCTGATGATGAAACCTGTAAAAATTCCTTATCTATTTATCCACTACTTTTTGTGGTATTGCTCTCTGTTACGTGTCGTTATATTCACTTGTATCAGTATAGATCGTTTCCAAGCGCTTCTTCTACTGAGGTCATTTGTCCTGTAAGTATAGTCAGGGGCGTTCACGAAGCAAGCGGCAGTCAAGGGCAGGCGAGTTGCCCACGGGCAAAGGGTGGCCAAAATCCCGGGCATTGGGGGCGAGCCTCGAGAAGTAGGAACGACCGGCGGGAGGTGCCTCAACGGCAGCGAATAAGCCACGACCTCGAAAGCTGCATAGAGGCAACGTCTTGTAGACACGACGGTAAAATGATCGTTGGACGGTCGGACGGTCGGACGGTTTGGACGGTCGGACGGTCGGACGGTCGGACGGTCCGACGGTTTGGACGGTCGGACGGTCGGACGGTCGGACGGTCGGACGGTCGGACGGTCGGACGGTCGGTCGGTCGGTCGGTCGGTCGGTCGGTCGGACGGACGGACGGACGATTTTGCCGTTATTCGATTTTTCGCGAAAAAGTAAAAGGGATGGACGCCAGTGCCCAGACACACCTACCTTTCCTGGTCGAGCACTTCAGAGGTCTCGCTGTTCTTGAAGCCGCCTGCCGCTACGCCATCGATAAGTATCGGTAGATGGTATGATCATCGTGGTTATCCGCGTGTAAAGAAAACTCAAAATATTTGGTAATTGCATAATTCGTGAACTATTTAGTTTACCACATCAGTCGTATATTCAATTCATAATTCTAGATTAACGATTCAAAAGAAAAAACAAAGTAATTTAAGTAAAGTATAGTAGAGACTCAGTTCCTTAGCTATTACACTTTGAATAAATGGAAATGTGTGGTATGCGTATATTTAACCCGTTTTACCCATTTCCCAAAAAAAGGCGCCAAACTTTAATGGTTGTATGCCGTTTCAATATCCTCGAGCAATGTTTGCTTCAAATAAGACCCTACTACATAGACATTCTTGGTTATAGTGGAATTGATGAAGTGGTTGGAGAAATATATCATTTGCAGCAACTGTTTCGCGATTGAGTAGGCAAAGAGTCTATACAGCCGCTAGTATTCGTGATTATCGTTAACCTTCCAACATGTTTTGTGCGTTTATAAGATCGTTAGTAATTGTTAATTTTCAATAGTTCAATTCCAGTACAAAGGATGTGTTGCGTTTAAAACTAAACATTTTCTGCAATATCACAGTAATCTCGATACAAGTCAGCGTAGCATGGAAACCTAATCTAAACTTGTAGAGAGGAGTGAGAATGAAGTACAACCTAAGGGCGTAGAATACCTGCCTTATACAATTTAAGTGGTCACTCACTGCAATTTATTCGAGAATACGTTCAGTTAAATGTGGTGAGTTTTCTTAGCGAGTGCGAATTTCAATTGAATGCATCCCTTTTACGTGAGATTCTCAGTAGAATATAAGGAGATTCAATTTCACCAGCATTTTTTGGTATTTTTTAAGTGGAAGCCAATGAAAGTTAATCAATATGTTTGGAACTAATACGAAGAACTAGCTGAACCCTTGCGAGTACATCACCAAAAGGAATAACTGTAGAAAAGTTACTGAAAAAACTGAAGAAGACGGTGACAACGATTAATTGTCCGATTGCTTAATTGTCAACGATTAATAAACCTACAACTGAGTAATTTGATTTATATTATATACATAAATGATTAATATACTCGTACCTAAAACCGAGTAATTGATTTATATTACAAACAATCCATAAATCTTAAAACAAAAGGGTTTGATGATTTTATTTCGATAATATAAAAACTTGTCACTTGAAAAACAAATGTTTGTCAGCAAAAGTTGTAAATCACGATGGTAAGCGAGACTTGTCAATAAATTATGTATAAAGTGTTTAAATATTGGTAAAAACATTTTTCCAATCACATTTCGGCGAGAATTTCAAATTTTGAAAGTGATAAAAAGTTTTAGTTTGTTTTTACTATCGTCCACATTGATTAAACATCTGAAAAAATATGTTATAGAATGTTATGAGACACATTCTAGGGGAATTGAGGCAATATTCCTGACTTTATTACGTTTCAAATCAATTTCAATTTTTTTCTATTTGAATTTGACGTTAAAATTCACAAAATGTCTTCAAATACAAATGAGTTTGCCCATTTTTTTCAGCTTAATACACGCAACAAAACACGAAAAGCATGTTTATAGTGTCTGGAACAGATTGCCCCAAGAGACTGATTTTTTAGTAATCTACGGCATTTTTTATCCTTGTTAATAGGAGTATCGCGATTGTCCATTTGGATTGGAGGCCCTTTCCATCACGTTATTCAGCTATATCCTTTGGTTAAGTACAAACTCAAATTTCTTTGTAAACGAAAACTCTTAGTGTATTCAATGTATAGATAACAATAAAGTTTTCGTAGTATGTCTGTACTCGTGGCAAAGCAATGCACGGCGTGATAAGACGGAGTGAGGCATTTTAGAAGAAAGCGGGGAGAGCATGTGGGTGGTAGAACTGGGTGGGGAACGGATATAGGTAAAATTACTTCCCTTTTATTTAATAGATAGAATGGGAAGACCCCATTCATTTTATTTTCCTCTCTAATAGATGATTGTGATAAATACTTGGGCAATGACTGGTCCTTCAGTTAATCACAATGGTCAAGCGACAGTAATTACAACAGGGGCCACGCAGCGGGGTGTGGAGAGTGAGTGGTGGAGATAACAGCCGTCTTCTGGGAGTGCAAATTAACCGCGATCTCGTTTGGCTCGCCTCAAATTGCGCGTGGAGCGACCGTTATTCAAACTGCGCTTCCCGAGGACCGACTCGAGCACGCTGACCCAAGTGGTTGCCCTCTCGAACGAGGAAACTGCCGTTGTAACGGAGTGTAGAGCGCTGTAGCACGTGCGATCGCCTCACTTGTAATACAAAGATCAATTGATAAGACAATATGCGGGTTGTGTAATGTTTTGTTGTTTAGGTGTTTGCTATCTTGAAGCTTGCTATTGTTCATTGTTGTGGTCGTCGCATCGCTTAATTAAATATTTAGTAAAATATTAAATACAATGGGGTTATCTTATTTTATTCCTCAGGCATCTCAATATTTTGAATTCGGTGACATGTTCCGATCATCGGGTTGAATTAATAATGTCAATTTGAGTGGTGCCGACAGAGGTCAAATAGGGTACTTTTGTAATTCAAGTTGAAAATTAAATATTTGCTTCTGATTAATGTAAAATTATTTTTTTAGTTAACAAATGCAATGTCTTAGTGTCAATTTTATGGGGATAAATCAATATTTTACTTAAATACTCTGTTGTTTTATACGTTGTAGGACGTATGATATTGAAAAGACGGGCAGTACCATTTTATAAAACCTCGTGAAGGTATAATTGCTATTTTGAAAACATATTTACATTCAACAATATGATGAAGTAATAGTATGTACAACTGAATACAATTTTGAATATTTCTGACTATATTGTAGTATCTCAAACAGGAATGTTTATGGATCGTTTGTACATTATTATTTTAATACGTTTTTAATAGTTATTCATGCACCAATGGCGTTAACTTATTTTAATGATCGAGTGGTTACAAACAGCCCGAGGGCCAAATATGAAAGGGACTTGGGTTTTTTTGTCGCCTCTAGATAATTAGAACCAGTTAATGCCGGTGATACAAGATTTTTTTACCTAATTGTGATGATTCTGATTTACTTATTTACTAATTAACTAAGCGTGAACCTGACTCAGTTTGCAATATCTTGATTTTCTTCTCATATTTACTTCCCATAATTCTTTCCATAAGAGAACTACGTGTGCTGTTTCATATTCCCCATGTGACTAACACTACCTCTCGACGCAGGTATCGAGTTCCATATCCGCAATGATATGCAGTAACGAAACAGTAAAGATTTTTTCAATCGTGTAAACGCTTACCTGAAATATGACTGGTTGGTCGCGATATGCCATGTAGTACTGTATGTGTCCAAGTTCATGATGTATGACATAAAAGTCGTTTTCATCTACTTCAGCGCAAAAGCGTATTCTGTAAATTAAAAAGAAATGTCTGATAAATAGTAAATAAAGGAATAAACTTGGATCGCAGGTTTAGAAAGTGAAGTTTTGAATTAAAAAAGCTACAAATATTTGCTTACTGTAATAGTTTATAGGTACTAGCCTTTCCACTTATAAACAGGGAAAAAAGGTAATAAATGGAAATTAAATTAGCCCACTTACCCAAAATGTATCGGAGATGAACGTTGCAATACAAGTACTTTTTAGAGTATAAAGTTAATAATAATAATAATAATAATAATAATAATAATAATAATAATAATAATAATAATAATAAT